TTGATGGCCTCTTGATTACCTTCAAGCCTTTAAGACCCCAGACGCTATACTTTTTGATAGCCGGGCACCATCAGCGTTCTTCACCACATTTGCGTATGCACCCATTTGTCTTCAGTGAAGGGATTACCAATCTTATGACAACAACCCAATCCCCCTACTTCTAGGTATCATCCAGGTAAATGAGTACAGTCCCATAGGGGAAATGTTAGACATATTCTCTGAAATGCTCTTTGACAGTAGAAGTGGCTTGGAGGCATCACTACAGTAGTACATGCAGCAATCAAAAGCAGTGAGATCCACAAAAAGACATAGCAACATGAACAGATTTTTAAAATAGTACAGAAACAGTAAGCTCTACGGCATAATGACAATTAAATTTAAAATACACATATAAGTAACACTGCCTATTTTATAAAGCACACGTAAATAAATTTAAGAATATGCACAGGTATCCAGGGTGGATGGTATTAGGAATTGGAGAAGGAGGGCTGTAGAAGAGAGGCCTTGTGTACACAAATGTCAAGACTAAAAAGGTCTGATTAACACAGCTCACTGAACCTCAGCCCCCAAAACAAATGTACCAATAATTTATATTTAAAAGTATGCAATCTGAAGGGTTCATGAGGGAGAGGGAGGGAAAAAAATGAGGAGCTGATACCAAGGGCTCAAGTAGAAAGAAAATGTTTTGAAAATAATGATGGCAACATATGTACAAATGTGACTGACACAATGGATGGATTGTGATAAGAGCTGTAAGTGCCCCCAATAAAATGATAAAAAATAAATAAAAGTATGTAATCTGGTAAACTATTAAAAATATTAAATTTATATTTTAAAAGTTTTAATTAAAATTTACATTGACAATGTTTAAGTAAAAATCTTACAATTGTTCCCTTGGGAATAACACACCCAGAGAAGAATGTGTCCCTGTATCTGCTCAGGCTTGGAATCTTGGTTCTGTTCCTCTGTTCCAAGAAAACAATCTTTCTTTAATGGACATACAGAAATTCAGTAACTGTTTTGTTTTAAAACTCTTAGGTTTCTTAGCAATCTCACAAAAATGTTTAATGATAAAAATTCCACTGAGTGAGTTTACGTGATTAGTCTGGTACACATGGTTCTGCCTTTGTGAATGACTATTAATGAATGTTTGGCTCAATCACCAATCCCCATTGTCCATGTGACAGTGTCCATTCATTTAAGAGTTTAATCTGTAGAATTTAATAATTCATGTACCGTATTGTGGTCTGAATCTAGCTTATATTTATGTAATCTCCTTCTCTCAACAGTGTTTTAAATTCAATACCATAGGCTAAATCAAAGATATTATCAATAGAATTAACTTACGCTCCAGGGGAATGATTTATAATGTTCCCTATCATAAAATGATCATAATATCTCTATACTGAACCAGAACATATATGAACCATAGCTATATCAATGAATTTGGGGCTTGCACTCAATTCTAGCCCCAAAACAACTAGTTCTAAAAACAACTAGTTCTTATAACATGTGCCTACTCCATACTCACCCTCATAAAGAGATCACTGAAGATACACGTGCTATCGCAAAGTGTGAAGAAACCAAATGGTACCTGGCTATCAGAGTAGTGCTTGGGGTCTTAAAGGCTTCTCTTCCATCAAACAGCCATGTCAACTAAGTCAAGCAGAAGTACACCAGCCTGTGTGCTCCAAGGATTGTAAATAATGAGATGCAAATCCATAGGAGGGAATGGTATCAGTACTTAAATTATGAACACCCAGTTTGCAGAAGGGTATAGATAACAGTGTAAGTCCAAAATCCATTTGCAGTGTCCCCACATGAATTAAGCCTTGGGTGACTCCCCTCTGAACATGGTCCAGGCATGTGAATAGCCTCGGAATCAAACAGAGAACACTGTAAAGTTGGTTGGTGGATGTAGTTAGGTTAAAAATGTAATACCTTTATCATTTTATATCCCTTTGGACTCATTTTAAAGTTGTTTTAGTTTTTAAGATTTTCTGCTTTCTGTTTTGTCTAGCTATTGTTTTTTTGTTTGATTACTCCTTGTTTTTGTATTTTGTATGATTTTCTGTATATGAAATCCAGGATGGGTAAATCTATAGAGACAGTAACTAGATTAATAATTACTAGGAGCATGGCAGGGGAAGGTGGGAGTTAACGGGGAGCAAACAAGTATGAAAAGAAAACGCTCTATAATTGATTGTGGTGATGACTGCACAACTCGTAATATGGTTAAACAAATAAATTGTATGATATGTGATCTATATGCCAGTAAAACTGTTTTTAAAAAGAAATTTCAAAAAATAATTGGCATAGTGCTTTAGTCTTGTAAACACAGCAACACATTTAAACTGGGGGACATTTTGATAAAAGCTAAAACATTTCTGTTTTAACACTGCAAAAATAAATTTTTAATGGGCCATTTCAAAAAGATATCAAATGCACACTTAACTCACTACAGCCAACTTCTCAGAATTGAAAAAAAAATATGTACTTTAAAGGAATCATTTTAAAGCCTGAATTAATGAGTCAAATATTGTGCCCCAAGGGTCCAACCCCTTTAACAATCTAATAAAATATCAAACCCAAACCCACTGCCACTGAGTCAATTCCAATTTAAAGCAACCCTATATAGGTTTTCTTAGGCTGTAAATCTTTGTGGGGAGTTCTTGAGCCTTATTAATCGTAACATGCTGGGCTGCTAACCACAAAGTCAGCAGTTCAAAACCACCAGATACTCCACGAGAAAAAGACAAGGGTTTCTACTCCCATAAAGAGTTACAGTCTAGGAAACACACAGAGGCAGTTCTACTTTGTCCTACAGACTTGCTGTGAGTCAGAATCAACTTGATGGCAGTGAGTTTGGGTGGTTTTGAACCACTAATCTTGCAGCTGGCAGTCCAATACTTACCAGACAAACGGA